TAGAAAGTATGCCTCGGATGTTGCCTGTATCAATCGGAAGGTAGCATTAAAGTCAAACGGCTACAGAACAACGGGAATCAGCCGTCAACTTTTGGCCAAATCGGCATACGAATCACTTCATCATGCACTTTCACACGAAATGAAATTATCTAAAACCATGACAGAAATTCTTATTATAAATGCTAACACAATCATTTATACTACTTATATTCAAGGTGAGTATGTGTCTAAATTATATAAGTAGTTTTTTTTAAAAAGTAAAATCAATTTAAGCCGCCTAAAATAGAATTAAACTACAGCAGTATGAACAGTCCTTACGATGCTAGGGCAGATATGACCGCTTTGTGCGTCAACCTGAAGGTTTATTCACATTAACGGATTTTATTGTAGTTGGGACTGCTGGTATATGATACGAAGATGTTTTCTATCAGGAAATCGTGGTGACCTTTCGTCTGTCTCGCTCGGATAGACGTCGTCAGAACGACACATCAGCATTCAAAAAATATTTGCCAACCCCGAGGAGGTGAACGGATAAAATCACACTTACTTCTTGGATCTGAATTCGAGATCCCACCTAGGCATTGTGTGTCTGGTTTGGTTACGTCATTCCATCCAGACAAGTTTGCAGATGAGCTAAGCTGATGCGTGAAAATGGAGCGGATGCTGCCACAACTGTTCCTCTATTTACATAATCTGGCTTATTTCAGGTTGGGGCATTCATGTATACTGTGCGTATGCAGTACTCCTCTCTCCTTCACACACACACACACAAACACACTTTCTCCTACTCTCAATTGCTATCCAGTTGACATAACTGGATCTTGCCTGATTTCCGTCAGTCTTTCTTCCTATTCGATATTTTGTTTGTATTGTTGTTTCCTATCATCGGTCCAATCTTCTGCTTTGCTGTGAAGTCTTTAAGTATTGGAAATATTTGGGCTTTATTAACTTTGATCTGGTGTCCTGTAGGGACCAACTGTTCTGCCGCCTTTGGTTTATGGACCAAGAAACTTTTTCAGACAATTTCCTGTTCAAATCACCTTATCTGTTGAGGTCAACAAATCTCTCCCACACACAGACACTGCCGTCTGAGCCCAAGACTCCACAAAAAGCTGATCTGCCGAGGGGGTCCGAAGCTACTTTAAAAGAAGACGAGACATTTCAGTTCACCACTAAATCGCGAATCTTTTTCAAAGGCTGACAAGACAATAACATCAGTAGCCAAATTGTTGTGCCCCGTCATTTTATTTCCCAACGTTGTACACTAATTGGCAATTAACCCCATTGGAAAATTGTTCGAACTGAGATCTTTCTAAACCCATCTAACTCTTGATCTTTGGGATTTACGCCTGTTACACGCAGGTCATATGCCCAAACTTGTGAGTATAAGTGAAATACTGCAAGAAACCCGCGTTTGTAAGTAGCCAGAAAGTAGGCAATGAGTAGCCAATTAAATTATCGGATGTCTTGGTAAATTCGCAAAATTCGAAAGGCTGTTTGTCTTGTTAATTTCTGTCGAATGCCTAATCTTTAGATTTAGATTATATATTTAGATTATAGATCACCGGTTACCAGCAGGAGTCTCTCTTACACACACACATATACACACACACAGATTGCACATCAACTATCTTCACTCGAAATGGAAATAAGCTCAATAATTGTTATGAAATTATATTTTTCTTAGTTATAACTTTTTATTTCGGTGATTTATGTTTGATAGATGCAGGCTCTTACCTTATAAATATGAATATGGATGAAATTTAGAGGAGACCCCATGTTTTTGGGTATGCACCAAGTAGCCAATCAAATTATCGGATGCTTCGTTAGGGTTGCAAAGTTTTCTCAATTTATATTGACTGTCTAATCCTTCACTGTTTAAAGACTTTCATTTCGTATGAAAGTACATAAAGATGAAATTCGAAGCTCGATCTGATCAGCAGACGACAGCAGATTCACGTTATATTGTAGCCGTTTGGCTTTGATACAAAGTTCAGGTTGACGTAGTCCATGAAACATCAGTCCTCTTTTCATGTGAAATCAGGCTGAGCTTTAAGCTATCAAATGATGGATGGCATCAGAGCTGGGACTCATTTTTTTTAACGTTTCAAGTTAATAAACACTAAATCTACTCGACGTCTTATATTTGCTCATAGCTAAAAAGCGAAACTGTATAGATTTAGACAGTTGTAGAATTATTTGGCTAATTTCCTTTTATCCCAGTTCGGGTACTTTCACATGAGTGTGCGTGTGTATGCGGGTATTCATGTCTGAACGTCTGTCTTTCAACGTTTATACGTAGTATGGGTCTAAAGCAGAATGATTAACAAAGCCTAAGGTCAGGATTGGGTCAGTAAGGCTTAATTACCCAAGAAAAGAGCCAGCTGCGACTGCGTAAGTCCGTAGACATCTCTGGTTGAAATAATGCAGTGTAAGCTTGCATGTGTGTAGATAATCCTCTGTCCTACCATTATTATTTATAAATCCTGCATAAACCTGGATTTTAGACTGCCTATTCGTTTAAATGACATAAGTAGGCTATAAGTAGTATGTAGGATTGCAGGATTTTCGGCAATTGCAGGATTTTCGGCAATTGCAGGATAGACGAAAGATGGGCACGACATGGGTCGGACTGGATTGTTTAATTCTCGACAGTTGCTGCCTGCCAAAGCTACTCGATCGCCTTCTTCTGCCGCCGAAAGAGCCAATTTGCGAATGCTCTTGAGGCGGCTTTTCAGGCGAAATGAAGAGCAGAAAAACATGCACCAAAGCCCAGTTTCGGTGTCTACCGTCTGAATGCTCCTGTAAGTGTCATGAACGCTGCTGACGATGCGGGTACGTCAGAGGTCAGAGGTCAGTGGTCGCGGGTTGATGTTTCCCTCCGGCCGATTGCGAGGCTGCCTGTCATGTTGCCATCGCAAAGTTGATTGTGTGCATGTTTAACCTCGAGATGGATGCACGTCGACCCACTTGCGGAACTGAGTCCCGATGGCGTGTGATTGGTCTGTGGATCAGATGGGCTCGTTTTGTGGTGAGCCGGTGCCTTCGTCCACCGGTCGACAGGACAGTCGGGTCGGATTTGGATTCCGCGAGCGTCGTCTCGGAAGCCGGCGAGACCGAGTCTCAAAAGCAGTTGAAAAACGAAAATCCGCATTTTTTTGGCTACCGTTTCAGAAAAACCATTTCCCATCATCAAGTGCTTCTCTGCAAAAGGGTAGTTGGGCGGCTCGGCCACTTACAGACCATCTTCAGCCTCTGTCCGAGACAGAAATACGCCTCGATTTGGCCTAAAATGTCGGTCAATTTTAGTAAACAAGCCTAAACTGTGCGGCCCGAGCCGAGCCATTCGTGTTCTCTTCTGACTTGGTCGGATAGTCGAAAGTCTATTGGGGGCTGCCGGCAAGATTGAGA